TGTGTGTGTGTTGTCATGTGTCACAAAGGTTTCTTCTGAAATTTTCAGCTTTTAGGAAGCTGGGATTGGATTGTGCAAATTGGACCGAGCCCGTTTATGTAGACCTTGTAAGGTGTGATGTTGGCAAATCAATTACTTATTTTTTTGTTTGAGCTGTGTAGACAGTTGAATCCAAGAATTTCGGTTTTCTGAAATGGGGTTCTTAGGCAAACACATTTCTGTTTCATCTATTGTAATGGAAACTCCTTAATATTCAGGAAAAGTGCAGGTGATGAGGAAAGGATGTTAGTTTTGTACTTTAACAGGGTAATGTAATGCTCCATCTTTTTTATTGTTAAATATAGTTAGATTGCACTCATTCACGATTGTCATCTAATGCTTAGGTGTTCTTTCCGCAGATTGGTTGGCCAACTGCTGTTGCGACAAATGAGAAGGGGACTTTTATGAAGAATGTTCTTCGGGAGAAGGTATCAATAAGGACTATTTCACCACATTTTCCCTTCCTTACCTTATCTTTTCTATATACACGAGGAGGGATTAACATTTTTGACACGTTTATAGTTCACGTTTGCTTTAAGGGAAATTTCACTTGTTTGCTGCTGCATATTTACTTTGTTATACTCCAGTTCCTTTTCATTGGTAGCCAAATTTATTTATTTTTTTCAAGAAGTCGGCTAATTTTGGCCATGCACAAATTATCAAGCATTAGTCCTGCAGGAACAAATTCCATTCATTACGAACATTTTGTATTCCTCAGTTTCTTTGCAATCTTGTTTGGTGCCTTGTTCCCAAGTGGAACTCTCAAATTAGAAAATCACTCTTAGTTTCCATCTGCAGACGGGGGCTCTTCTTTTCTTTTAGATTTGCTTAGTTTTCTTACATTGAGATTTTCCATATATATCGTTAAGAAGAACCTCAATTTTTGGTTAACTCTCTACAGAAAAATGCATTGGATGATCTTGTCATGTCAGAAGCTCTTACGTTGAGACCCGGTGCTGAAGAGTGAGTAGTCAGTTCTGCTAGATGCCCATTTTTATATATAACACGATATCAAATATGTCATATTTTGTCTTTTTTAAATAGTTTTTTTATTAGAAACGTATCTTTTCCCCAGGTTCATTGACAATGCTTTTGAACAAGGCATCCCAGTAATCATCTTGACAGCATATGGTCCAAGTGGGGAGAAGATTGCAAGGTTCGTAACAAGTAGATAAGCAGCCTAAGCATATTGGTTGACATAGTGTGTTACTAATAAAGAATATTATTTTATATTTTATTTGTTAGGTCAATTGCGGAAAAGCTTGGAAGTGAGAGAATGTCCAGGACAAAGGTTGTTGGAGATGAAGAGGTCAAGCAAAGCTTTTACGGGCAACTCGTGTTTGGCAAAGGAGCTTTTTCTAGTTTGGATGAGCAGTTAGCAAAGGAAGTGAGCAAAGCAGGTGAAAAAGGCTTTGCACTTTCTTCTTCTTCTTTCTTTTCTTTTCTTTTTATTCTTTTATTTTTTTTATATATTTTTTCTTACCCGCACGCATAGTTTTCTGTTGAGAGAGCTTAGAGAGAGAATTTTATTCGTGATTTCTTGTCATCAGCGTCTGCTGAGAGACAGAGGATTGCTGAGGAGGTTGCTTCTATGCTGAAGCTGAAAGTGGAGCTCAATAACAATTCAAGTGAAAGGTTCTCTCTCTCTCTCTCTCTCATGAAATGTCGGGCTGTTAATGGGTTATAAATTGCTTGGGTTTTTATACAGCTTGCAAAATATTGTGGCAGCACTAAGGGCAGGGGCGGAATATGCAGAAGTGCAGGTCGAAAAGTGTGTGTTGGTTGCCGGAAGTCAGTCTGGAGTTGCTGCTGCCGAGCGAATTGGCATGCCTTGTGTTGTCCTCCGGAGCAGGTAAAATAAATAAACTAAAAAAAAAAGAAGTCTTACAGTGTGCTTGTTTATAAATATATTTACATTTGATTCGTTTTTTAGTTAACCAGGTTTAATATTGTTGAAAAAGTTGGTATGGTTAGTTGTTAGTGGGATGATAAATTTGTATTATAATATATTTAAAATAAAATGATTAAAATTAAACTGATGTAAAATTAGGAGATAGATGATTGAAATTGATAGGTAGTTAAAATCATGTTAGTTGATGAATAGTGAATTAAAGTTGATGTGATGTATAAGAACAATTGATTGGTATTATTTAATTATATTGATAATATTGAGAATAATTAGGTTGAATTAAAGTTGAGTTATATTTTAATTTGAGATTAATTTTTTTTTTTAATAAATTGATAAACAAACAAGACGTTAACATCTTGTCGAGCAATTTGAATGTCTTCAACATGAAGATCGAAATTTATAATTTCATTTATATTTTTCTTGGCATTGTGTTTGTTTTCCGTGTTTCGTTTGGGATTTGGATGCTGCAGTTCAACATCAAGAGCCGAATTCCCTTCTGCGGTTGCCGTGATGGATGGGTTTGGTGGTGCTGACCTTACCATCTCTCGACTTCGCCGAAAATTCACGTCGTAAGTTTTGTGCCCAATTAGTAAATTCACGTCTTTTACCATTAGAGAATTGTAACTTTGTATCTTGTAAGACTCTTTTTGTAATGCAATTATTGTTGGGGGTCCTTCAAATATACTGTTTTATACTTTTATGTGTTATGTATGAACGATGCAAATGTAGTTGTATGGCTATCTAACCGTTGGGCATGCTAGTTTTTACCATGTGTGTTGTTTACCTTTATCCTTTATCTTTCACAAATGATCCATTTTCAAACAATCGTCTCCCTTTGTTCTTGATCATGCCATAAGACTTTGGTCGAACAAATTGCTCGTGAAGCAAAGCCAGTTAAAGCAAAATATATAGATTTCTCGCCGGAGCAAAATACATGGCAATAACTCACGTTTTTTGTGTCAATATCAAATCCGGGCCTTGATTTCGAATGATTTCAAATTTCATGAATTCATTCGACATTCGCGTCAGAATAAGTTAAACTGCAGACTTTCAAAACTCTCATTATATTATTGCAACACAATATTCGGACAATATGTTCAGGCTCAGACGAGAGTAGAGATGTAAACGAGTCGAGCCGAGTTCGAGCTCTTAACGAGCTGAGCTTGGCTTGTTAATCGATCTTGAGATCTTGAGATCGGCTCGAGCTCGAGCCTTAACGAGCCGAGCTCGAGCTTTAACGAGCCAAAATATAAAAAAAATATATAAAAACTCTCTTTTTGAGTCTTATCGAGCAGAGCTCGGCTCGTTAACCAATCGAGCTTTAATTGAGCCCGAGCTCAGCTCGTTAAGGCCTCGAATTCGAGCCGACCTTGAACCTTAACAAGCCAAGCCGAGTCAGACCCGTTTAATTTAACAGCACTATACGAGAGCATGTAAAAAACTGACAATGTCCGCTCAGTGAAATTAACATGTACGTGATTATGATTTTTCTGTTCAAAGTAATTCAATGTGGAACTGAAATTAACATGTATATATGTTATTATAAACTAAGTCATGGTTAACATTTTTATGTATTGTCTCTAATATTCCATGTTTTACTTACATTTTAAAAGTATTTATAATATTGTTATTTGGAAGCCAACTGATTATTGTGGGAGAGAGTTCTAGTATAGGAAAGATAGCAATAGATCTAACCTTCATTTTTCAGTTTACATAGGTGTGTAGGAAATATTCTAAGGAAAAAAATTATCCATTATATAGTTGGCTTCAATAAACTTAATATTACATTTAACCTCTCACACAATCAATAAAATTTTGTTTGATATAGAATTATATTTTCACAATACAATTTTATTTATTATTTTAGTTTCTGAAAAATTAAATTACACTAGAAAATATATTATTTTGGTTTTAAAACTTGAAAGGGTTATTTATTATTTTGGTTAAAAAATAAATTTACAATTGAAAAAAAGTTGATCAATATTATTTTGGTTATTTAGGCATATCTTTCAGCATCTCTAAGGAATTATGAGACAGAAGGTTAGCATGGACGGAGTTAGGGAGACAGTACTGTAAATTTTAGTTTAAGTGGAATTAGGCACCAGGAGGACTGGCAGTGTGTTTTAATATTGCTGTAAATTTTTATGTTTAAACTGATCAGAATAAATAAATTGATTAGAAGAAAGAAGTAGTTGTATGGTAAATTTTGAGGTTAATTATTATATTTAAAATAATCATAATAAATAAATTAATTAGAAGAAAAAGTAGTTGGTATTGTAATTTTTCATTTACTTATGGTTAATGATTAAATTATGTTTAAATGAATCAAAAGAAACAAATTAATTAGAAGAAGAAAAAAAAAGTAGTTGATCGTGTAAATTTTGAGTAATGATTAAATTCCAAATAGAAGTTTAGTGATTAATGATGATTAAATTATGTTTAAATTAATAAGAAATAAATTAATTAGAATAAAAAAATAGTTGGTATTGTAAATTTTGAGTAATGATTAAATCCATATTCCAATTGATGGAGAGGAAAAACTAGTTGATATCCGAATTTTATAATTTCATGAAATGGTTAAGGATTAAATCTATGTTTAAATATGTTGATTAAATCTCACAATTAATTAATTTAATTGTGAGATTATGGCACCATATGGTGCCCATATGGGCACCATAGAATTTCTGATCAACCTCCATACATAAAAGTAAATCAAAGAAAAAATTAGTTGACTCAAATTAGTTACATAACATAAAACTACTCTTTAAACATAAAAGATGATACTGAGGTTGTTTCTGATTCATTCTCATATTTCTGAGGTTTTAAACATCTTCTCTAAACCCTAATCTAGAATAAACACCAAGCTACTCGAGACGCTGAATGGCAAGACCAAACTGCAAAACCCTAGGCACGATGAAAATTGGCACTTTTGTCGCATGATAAAATAGTGATTTTTAGCAACTCGGAGCAAGTGAATAGATTCCCCCTGCTCGGAAAATACTAAGTTCCATCAAAATATCAATCAAAGAGTCGTGTGAATCCCGGACTGGTTCGAGCAGAGGCAAGAGCAGTCTTGTTCGGCCAAATCCCGAACCACAATGCGCTTGTCACGATTACTCATAAGTTTAATAAGAGGCAGCTTTGAAGCAACTTGGTGCCATATTTCTTTCACTGTCCCATTTGGATCCTCATATTCGAAGTATCTCTTCACCTGAATTTGTAAAGCGCGTAAAAATAGTGGCGACAAAAATCGGTAAAAATGTGATGGAATCGAAAGGGAGCAGAATTTAGCAAATACAGACTGCATTTAAGATGACACGACACAAAATGACATTCCCATTCATCTCAATGCTACTTCCTTATCTAATCTAATAAGTTAATTATAATAAAAAAAAAAAAGGAATGTAAATACCATTCTCCAAAACATCTATTCAATTAAAAAACATCAAGACCAGCTCTTTCCCAAGTATGGAAGATAATCCTTGTTTTTCTTCACACAGATGAAGAATGTTATTTGTTGATGTATTTATGCACATTACATGGCTACTTTAACCTCTCAACATTACTCAAATAATCTAATCACATTAGTTTATTCGAGTTTCCCAATTAATACACTTAACATTTTAAAAACTCAAGCAAAAGATTAGGTAAAAAATGGAAAAAAGCCATATACACATATAAATGATAAATACAATGGAACGGAAGAGTAATGTGTAGTGTATACCTTTTTCAATTCATTCTGGAATTCCAATATCTTCTCTGGACTCACTCTTCTAAGCAATTTTACCAAATATCTCGGTTTAACAGCTGTGTTTGTATCAACGAAAATGGCAATCTTTCGGTAGTCTATAACGTCTTCAAAAGGCAACTCGATGTAGTCGCTCACTATAACCGGAACACATAAACTCACAATAGCATCAAAAAGTCGGCAAGCTGATGGAGTATCGCCAGCTGGATGTAAACAAAATCTCGACGAGTGCATTCCCTGTGATGCTGCACGTCTACTCTCCCTAGATTGTGCCCCGTGCTTGATAATAACATCTTTTTCATTTTCCAGTAATTGGAAAAGCATATCCCGAATCTTACCACCCTGCATACATCTCAATAAAACCAACTCATGTGTTAATGCACGGACAAGTAAGGGGCATAACGCTTACGCTATGTTTGGTAAACCTGATAAGCTAACTTACAACTTTTAAGTGAATTTCGAGATTATAGCTTTTTTTTTTTTATTATTATTATTTTTTTTTTTTTTTTTGAGCTTATAGCTTATAACTTAGGCTATGTTTGGTAAAACTAGCTGATAAGCTAGCTTATAATTTTCGATCTAATAGTTTATGACTTATAGCTGAAAAATTAGTTTATATGATAAAGTGTTTGGTAAATTAGCTGATTAGCTAGCTGAAATAAAAATTTTAACGAGCTTATTTCAAAAGCTACCCAAAGAAGCTTATCAAATAAGCTCGAGCTTTTTCAAAAAGCTGGTCCTACCAAACGGAGCTTATTTGAATACATGGAGCTTATAAGCTAATCAAATAAGTTATAAACTAGATTATTTGCCTACCAAACACAGCCTTAAGGCTAAAAAACTAGCTTATATGATAAAAGTGTTTGGTAAAATTAGTTGAAATAAAATTTTCAATTAACTTATTTGAAAAGCTACCCAAGAAAGCTTATGGATAAGCTCGAGTTTTTTTAAAGAAAACCCGTCCAACCAAACCAAACTTGTTTGAATACAAGAAACTTAAAAGTTAATCAAATAAGCTATAAGCTAGCTTATATGTTTACCAAACACACTCTTAATCTCTTAATATTGGAAAGACATCAATCAACTATCCATCTACACAGTATCAAATTTGGCATTATAGATAATTTGTGATTAAGGGAGGAAAATAACAATCTTTCCAAGTGGTAAAGGCATACAAAACGTGAAAGTAAAGCAGACTTTTACCTCTTTACGGTACCGATTTCCCATAAAGAAGAGCAGGGATTTACGATTCTCCAAACCGACATCACCCTTGTATGTATTAATCCGGTGGGAATAAGGGAGAATTACATCTTTCACTAGGGAAGCCTGATTTTGAGCCAACCTCCCGAAATCAGAAACTAACAGCACCCCATTTTTCACCCTATCGATAACTTTATATAGAGCATTTGGATCTTGACATATAAATACGTGATCCCACCCATTATTCCTCTTCCAGTACACTTGTTCTTCAAGCCACTCCATCAAATCTTCCTACACCAGCGAAAAATAAGGTTTTTTTAACATCACCGGCTGCTGAAGTCAGTGTTCTTACACAGCATTTTCATGAAATTAATTTGCTTCTTCCTAGGATTTTGAGCAAACCATTACTGCCATGGACGCGCGAAAACAACTATTCACAAGCATATATGGCATGGATATCTCAAATGTGCTCCAAACAAAGTTCTTTACATTTGCTTCTTTCTAGTATTTTGAGCAAAACATTATTGTTCACAAGCACACCGTCAATCAATTACAAAAGAAGTACACATCAGATGCCAAGATAAAACAACAGTGAATATTTTGGCACATACATTACCTGGGTTTGCTCATCATTGTAAACAGCCCCATCTTGTGAGAAATTCGAAACGGGTCGGATCGGTTTCACGACGAGGCTCAATGAGGAGAAAAAGGGCACGTAGAAAAGGTCAGCTTCTTCAGGGTCCATGACCCGAGTCACGGCTGAGTCCACCCTCTCCCCAGCCGGACGATTCAAGTCGGAGAATAGGTACCACTCGGCGGAGTGCTGGTGCCCAGGGTACTTGAGATGCGTATCGTCCTCCGCAGCTCGTCTACCACGCGCCGCTGCGTAGCTCTCGATCACTCCGTACGTAAATCTCCTCGGCAAATCGTACATGAAAATCCTCACCTCCCCATCGCCGGGAGAACGAAACCTGCGATCGTTGCCTAAATTGATTGAGGTGTTTGTGCTGTAATTGGGAGGGGCGTAGAGGAGGAAAGTGTATAGGGTTAGGAGGACCAGGAGGACGGCGATGGCGAGGGCGGGTCTCGTGAGGGATTTTCGAGGCATCTTCGAAGCGAACGCTTTGGTGCCGTGGGGAGGCGGCGATAGGGGCGGAGATGGGAGATAAGCGGCGGAGAGCGGCGGCGATCTGTGTTTGGGCCTGGGATTCATTAGGTGTCTGAGAGCATTATGATCGGTGGCGATTGACGGCGGCTACGATGATTACAGAACACGCGCGGCGGAGGCGCGTGAGGCTGTAAAAGGGGAAAACGTGTATTCGAGCTCAGTAAGGATCATCGGCAACTGGCGGCCGGAAACTTTAAAGCTCAAAAATTTCTCTTACTGCCTTCCGAAAGTTTTTTCAGGCGAAGTGGTGAATAAGTAGCCATAGCTAAGTTGTTTTATGTTTTTCAGCTTTTTTTTAGATCGATATAAATATAAGAATAAAGAATTAAGGAGAAAAAAAAACTAAGTACTTTATTATTTATTTTTAAAATAGTTTGACTATCTTGTATTTAATATTCTCATTCATTTTATATACTACACTATTACAGAACCCGTGCGATGCACGGGGGATAATTATCTAAGTCCCTTTTAAAAGCTTCGTGGTCAGTCCCAATTCAAAGTACTTACTAACAAAAACATCATGTCATTAATAATATTGTTGGGAAAAACTAATCTATATATTATTGAAGACTTCCTTATATACAACGTTCATGGTTTGATTCTTTGGCAAGTGATCATTGCCACAAATTAAGATTTTCAAACCATTTCTGTTAGTGACACGGAAGACAGCAACATACAACTGTCCATGACTAAAAACCGATTTCTTAAGAAATAAGCCAACATGAGATAATGATTGTCCTTGACTCTTATTTATAGTCATGGCGTAAGAGACCATAATGAGAAACTGACGACGCTGGAACTTGAAAGGAATTCTAATATCAGATGGAGTTATAACCATTCTTGGAATCAACACTTTATCACCTGCGTGATCGCCAGTGAGTATCTTACACTCGAGAACATGAGTGGAGAGCTTCGTCACTACCAATCGTGTTCCATTACACAGACCCATAGAATGCTCCATATTCCGCAACAGCATGACTGGAGTTCCAATCTTCAAGAACAACTCATGATTCGGTATTCCAGAACACTTGATACTATTCAAAAACTCGGGCGTATGCAGATCATGCAAAAAATCATTATTAGAATCTGATTTGCACGTACTATCCGAGCTCAAGTACGTACGACCATCCGACAAATTCAAAGATGTCATGTACTCATTTATAGAATCGACAACATCCAAAGTCGGCGCTAATATAGCCTATCCTTCAAATAACTTGGATCGTCGGTGGCCTCCTTAAACATTGGATACATGCTTTCAACGATTTGAGCAACGGGATCATCAGATGGCTCTAGCAAAATGTCCTCGGGTATGTCAATCATTGCACAACCATCGTTCGATCCCCCTATAGTGCCATCTCCAATGCTAGCTATCCAATCCGCAAACCGAGTGAGCTCATCACGTTCATTCAAATCTTGAAGTCCGCGGAGACGCATGTTTTTTGTAAGCCTTAACACAATACAACTTCTCCATATGTCAGAAGCATTTATGGTAGCATTAACTATGTCTTGACGGCTGCCCTTCGGAATGACCGGAAGGATTTGTCGGAGATCTCCACCAAAAACAACAGTCTTCCCGCCAAAAGGTTTTTCCTTGTTTGACGGGTCAATTACTCCCATAATACCCTGCAGAGACCTCTGTACAGCTTCGAAGCAGTGTTTGTGCATCATTGGAGCCTCATCCCATATTATAAGAGAAGCACGAATTATCAATTCCGCCAGAGGGCTCGACTGATTGACTAAACATACACATATTACAATCATTAGTATTTTATAAAGTGTAGTATTTAATATTCAAGTTCGAACATAGATAATTAATAATTAACCATTGTAATCAAATACATGAATTTAAATAATGCCGCAACTCTGTTGGTGGGATATTGGGATTTGTGCTATAAAACAGAAAATTCGAGCTTATCCCTACTAACAATTTCCATTTCTGATATTTTGTTTCGAATTCTTATCTGATTAGTTAATTGGTTAATAGTATTTGAATTTAGTGTGGATTCTATTTAATTAAATAATTAATAAAATATTATTCTTCAAAATTAGTATATCCGTCCATGTTGTACTGATCGGGAATATATGATTAATAAGTGAATATTTCATAAATGCGACTCCTACCAAATTGCTTTAGAATTTAGCCATATTAGTTGACTTGGGATTTAACAAAAAAGCCAGCAAACAAAGATTTATATAGTTAATGATAGGTGATAAAGACGAACAACATTCAATAAACACTAATAGAACGATCTATAAAATAAACCAAATTATTTATATACTAAAGCAAAAGACTCGGCAACTATATGTTACCTAGAGACTGCAAAACAAATATTCTAACGATTCAAAAACATGAAAATACGCAACCTATAACTTAAATCCCAAGAAATTTAAAGTCTTAATAAAATCCAACTAAATAACTCTCCCAACTTATTAAATAGTAACTAATAGAAAATTAAACTTAAACTTCAACGTTATCACATCCTTCCTTCTTGTCCTCGATCAAATTTCCATCATCGTCAAGCTTTGTTTTCCCTTTATTGCTCGTAACCGACTCAGCAGCAAATTGATCAGAAAGGTTACGTTTTGCAATTGAATTGTCCACAACCACATCCTTCGGTTGAATAGCCTTCAATGGGGTGGAAACTTCATCTTCAAACATAGGATCCTACAATAATTAATCCACACTAAATAGATTATTATTTTTATATGTAATGATTGATAATTGTAGAATAACAAAACCATTGTGATAGATAATGTACCACTCCACTCGCAGTTTCCTCTCTTTGTAAAAGAGTCAAGAAATCCGATTCCTAGGAAAAAATAATACATGGATAAATATCAAATACGTTATTGAAAAAGACACATATAAAATTATTTGTAAAATTCGAGAAAAAAAGGGACTTACATCATATTGCACGACCCATTGGCTATACTTGGAAACCAAGTGTTCATCAATTACAACTTTAATGACAGAGAATGAATTCTTGTAAGGATCATCTGGCTTAATGCGAACCTTGAAGAGATATGACCTCCCCGTTAACTCATCAAGTTCGTCGGGAAGTTCAAATATGTCCTTCCTCTCCTGACAAATTTAAAATTTTAAAATTAATTCGAATTGGATATATATAATTATAGTCACACATGTCAAAGAGAAAATGTAGTATACCTTTTGGTCATATTCTCGTTTCAACATATCACAAGTTTTCCCAACAATATTCTGACAATCTTTATCCCAACAAACAAAAGTTGCACTGGCGGAAGCATCAAAAACACTAAATTGAATTTTGTAACTACATATGAAACAAATTATGATGTATAATTCGCAATTTATACAGTTCATATTACATATATTTTATATAGACATATGAAAAGAAACAATAATACAATTAGTGTTCACAAACCGGAATGTGCCGCGAGTGTGAGAGCACTTCCGGCATGTATAGCTCCCATTATCATTCTCCATCGAGGAGTTGCATCTCACACATGCAAGGTACCACCAATCATCTATAATAGAATCTATAGAAGCACAAACCCAAGTGTCCATTGGCTACAAAGTAAATTTACATACCAAGTTAATATATGTACAAAATCAACAACTTATAAATGGCGCAACTTCTAGTACAATAATTTTTATATTTTAAATCGAACCCAACTAATAAAAAAAATTGTTATAAAATATTTATTTTTTATAATTGTAATTAATTAAAGACAATTATTTCAATTTCACTAATAATTAAAATGTTGGTGTTCGAAATTTTTCCTAAGAACATAATTAAGATTACCTCGGAATACTCAAATAGAGCATCAACAGAACTAACAATGACGTCACCGTCATTAAGACTTTGAAGTTCAGTCTTCACAATGATTGAGCTACTTGAAACCAACTTGGTATCCTTAATTTTACTTGTCGCCAGCCTTGGTTGACAATTGAGAAAGTAACATACAAAAATAGTTTTTAGATACAATTATCAATAAAATTGTATTTATAAGCTAACAAATACATATACCTTCTCCGAAATTCTTGAATTTCGGGAACGTCCACACCAATGATTAAGGTCACATCCTTTGAGGTGCTTATTTGAACATCACCTATTACATAAAAATATATTAATATCCAATCAAATAGACAGACAATTGTTAGTAAAAAGCTAATGGACGAAAATCTTTTTTACTGATATAATAATGAAATACATTCGAATTTAACCTCTCCACTCTCTTGCACGACACATTTGCGCATGATGATGACAAAAGGTGACCCATCATTTTTGTAGTGATGCTCCAAAGCAACAACTGATCAACATATCGCCCCCAAACAGTACATTCCTTTATATTCCCCCTACAAAATGTTGACAAAATATTTATGTATTAAATCGGAAATCAACAATAGGAGATTGTTTTTATAAACATGATAAATATTTTGAATTAATTCGGAAATCGAAAAAATTAAATCAGAAATTGAATTTTTTTTATAAAATTAAATCGGATTGTTAATTTTTTATTTAATTAATTAATTCGGAAATCGGAATAAAACAGAATTAGGAATTTTCATAATAAAAGCGACAATCAAAAATTTTAATTAAATCGGAAATCAGGAATTTAATTTTAACAATAATTGCAGAATTTTTATTTTTTTTAAATCAATCAAAAATGAAAATATTTACATAAACCATTGAGCACAATATCTGTTAGCACGACTTTAACTAAAAGAACATATAAAAAGTTTGAATAGATAACATAAATATAAAGGGTACAAATGCTTACTCCAAGTCCACAATAGAGAATACTATCATTTGTGTCGCAACTCCCTTGACAACTTTGACTTGGATAGGTTGTATTGAAACAACCAAACCAATAATATCTATACCATCATAGAAAAATAAATTTTATTCAAAATATAACATTTTAGAACATAAAAAAAAAGAATACACATATATTTAAAAAATATATTACCGAATTTATATATTTATATATTTATATTTATATATATTATAAAATAAAAGTACAAAATAGAACATAAAGAAAAGAATGTTAACTTACCAAACAACATGGTTTCTTCAATATTAAGAACATCCATCAAAGTTAGGAAGTTTCTAAACTCAAAACGATGCATAGGAAAATCCCCCTTCCATTTGACAATCTTGGTCATGCCATGGATGATGCTCCTCCATCTTTCTATAGTCGATTTATAGAGGCCAATATTGCTTTCAACTTGATAGTTTGTCAAGACATACTTTCCACCTTCTTCAATATCGTCAATGAGTTTTTTAATATTCACAGGACGAATTATTCCAGTAATACGTAATCCCTAAAACAATACATGTTGGAGTATTTAAGTATTGAATCATATAATAAATAAATAGAATAAAATAAGTTAAAATTTAATTTTAAATACATTATGAATGTGTGAACATATTACCTCATAATCATGAAAGATAATCTCAAGTACATTCCGGTAATTGCGAACGTCTTCAACCCGTTGGAACATCCGAATGATGCGTAGCTTGATTGGTGGCTTATTGGATCTGTGGATATCCTTGATGACTCCAAAATTCAAAGGCATGTTGAGATGATGGTAAAAAGCTTCGTAAAAAATATTATATTGCGCTTTGTGTATGATGTAGGATATGTTGTTCAAGATTGTTAATATTTATATAGTAGTCATCTATAACTATACGATCGGTGTGGATTTTTAAGATATATACGGATTTTTGATTTGTACTAATCTTATTAAGGGATAATATTGGAGTTATGTTATTAGGAATATCCCATCAATTCAAATCGGATCTGCTTTCTTATAATAATAATTACTTGGCAAATTAATAGAAAATTTCGGTGCTAAAACTATGGCAAAATATCGGCAAGATAATTTGGTAACCGATGCTTACAATTTTGTAGCAATTGTTAACAAATTTTCTATAGTTTATGTAAAAAAAAAAAAAAAAAAAAAAAAA